CAACCATTGGGTTCAGCAGCAACAACATCCTCTGCAAAGGGTATTCAAGAGATGAAAGATCTTCCTTTGGGGAAATGATCACAGAGAAGCAGATTGAAACCAATGAGGAAAACACCTTTCAAAGCTGAGAGAATACCTTCTTTAAAATTGTCAAACATCCAGATTGCTTAAATTTTCCCCCACTGGGGGAGGTGGTGGGTTAATTATAAATGTAAAAGTAGCTATATGTACTTGAATGCTTAATTGTGAACAAAGGAGGTAAAGGCTTGTGGGGAGATGTTGTATAAGCTAATCTCCACCCAGCCCGATGATGTCATACTATCTTTGGGCGGAAGAAGAGTTATTTTTGCAGAAGGCCCTGATGGCGACCAATGTGATATACCTGGGCCCTGCCATGACGCAGGGTCTTCTGAACTTTGCTGATAAAGAGGGGTGATCTCCATCTTAAAAACTGGTCTCCCTCCTCAGTATGGATTAAAAAATCTTTGCCAGAGAACCTGGTTCAGGGCAAGCCTTCATGTCCCTTGATTTGGAGAAGATATTCCACCGGGTGGATAATGAGTATTTATTTGGGACTCCGGGGGACCATTCAGGTTTGGGATAGTTTGCCACCTGGATCTGACTTCTGGATGCTACCACACAGTGTCAAATTAAGATTAATGGGTCTTTGGCTACACCCTTTGCTTTAAGAGAGCAGTATATCAAGCTAGAGATAGTAGGAACTGCAGATGCTGGAGAATCCGAGACAACAAGGTGCAGGGCTGGATGAACACAGCAGGCCAAGCAGCATCATAGGATATCAAGCTACTCCTTCTCTCGCCAGTTATATTCAATTTGTTGAGAACTATTCCTGTGCTTTTGGTGGAGGAGGTTGTCAGGTTTATACTGTCTACCTGTATGCTTCAGGTTTTCCATGGCTCATGGGCTCCATAGGGGTTAGGTTTCCAAAAGAGATATTTTGACTTAAATTCATCAGTCTCCTTGGGAAGTTTGATATTTGTTGCAGTGCCCTGCAAGTACTGCCTGCCCTAATTACATTTGATTTGATTATTTAAAAATAGTAGAAAGGAGGGTCAGTGACAACAAACCACCCCAGCAGCTAGTAGCTGGAGACCAGAAGATACAACATGTTGGCAGCAATGGTATCTGAAAATAAGACAATGGCCATACAATGAATATGATAGTGCAACATTTGGATCCACAACAAGCAGGGAAACTTTAGAGCTTTTGTTGTTGGGGAGTGGGAGAAATTTTGATTTTGATATTTTTAAGAGGTTAAGTTTGACTATGTGTTCTGTTCATGAGACAGAATAGCTTTCATCACAGGAAGTGGTGCAATGCCACATGATCTTGCTTATTCTTGCTGTCTTATGGTAGGATAAAGGGACAATAAAATGTTTCTCAAGTATAATTAATACTTTCTTTACTTCAGCAGACTCAAAATATTCTTTAGCAGTACAACAAGACCAAGAAAAAGCCACCAATCAGGAAGGAACATATCTGCAGACATTGGACCTCAATAGCCCTTAATTAGATTGGTCACCTCAGTTCTTTCTGTAAAATTATGTGGCCCTGTTTGTAAAAGATTGGATTAAAATTAAGATGATTGTTTAGGGTTTTCAAATTTCTCAATATTTCTGCTGCCCTTGATGGTGTTTTCTACGTTTATGTCAATCCAGACAAGGGGATGTAGTCACAGATGGATAGATTTGAGTGGCAGTGTTCTGAATTTGTCAAAATTGGTATAATTTGATTTGATTTGGTTTTCTGGCAGTTTGTTTTTACACCTAGTCCCTCTTTTCTTTTTTTGATGGGTTGTTAGAGGGTAGAGTGTTGGCTGGGCCATAATAGTGCACTGAAAACTGTGGATGCATTTTTGATTGACTTTCTTTGTTTCACATCATCAGCAGCAATTAGTGTATTTGGATTTGGACATTTGGTAGAAGTTGTGCCGGAATGAGAGTTGGGTGAGGTCCAAATTGAGGCAGAATTAGGGGTGGCAGGACAACAGCACCCCCCACCCCCCTCCATGCTGTGGCCATCACCAATTGAGTCTTGTTTAGGGCCTGTTTCTAAGTGGGGAAGAACCTGTAAAAAGTCAGTAATACTTGAAAGTGAATTCACTGGTCACACTGGAGCTCCATTTTGAGGTATAAATTGTCCTGCAAGTCTCCATGGGGGAGTGAGAAAGTTGCAGCTGCCTGGAGCTGATGAGTTGGGGTAAGCCATCCCTCCTAGCTGGTTTCAGCATAGCCACACAGGGGTCTCTGGAGGGGCTTGTCCTCCATGAAGGTGGCCTGGCTGCCTCCACCTGCTGTCTCCCATTGATCACCCACCCTAGCATCCTGCCGCTGCTCTCGGCTGGAGGACCCGAAACCAGCCTTGTGGCTCCAAGCACTTGCCTGCTCCTATTACTTATACAGTAGATGATGAGACTATCTTCTGATCACCAAATTTGGATCAAAACATACTCGAGTGACGGTCTCTCATGCCGATAGTGTGTTTTTAATTCCCACTTGACCTTGTTGGCGATTCCCGAAATCCATAAGGAAAATGCTGCCCCCGGTGTTGACAATGGGCACTCCCAGTTTAAGTGCAGCATTGCCATCTGCAGATAGTAGGTCTCTCCTTCTCCATCCGGACATCTTACGTGATATGGTGGCGTAGTTTAGTATTAGTGTAGCATTGCGACTCACACGAAGCTCCAGATATTTACACTTTTCCCACTAAGAGAAAAAAATACACTTGTGGGACTTTTCACATTCTTGGGATGTCTTGAAGTACTTCAGGGCTAATTAAATCCTTGAACTGCAAATACAGGTCAATGCAGTGGAATGAAAAGAAAGACTCACTTTTATGTCCTGCCCTACATAGTCCTAACAGATAGCTTGAAGCATTTGTGTATGAGTTTTTTTTTAAGGATTTCACAATTTAGTGTGCTTCGATTGGGAAGTCAGGGTTCTACTGTTGCCATGCCCTCTCTTGGTCCGATCCACTGCCTCTGCCACACTGGGACTGTGGAAATTGCCTTACACTGATCTACTTTAAAGTGCAGTGATTGTAATGCAGATAACAAGAACCCAGAAACTCCATACTCTGTGCATCGTGATCCCACACCTTGCAGAGAGAAGAATAAGCAAAATGTAGGAGCAAATTCCTGCAGATGCTGGAATCCGCGCTGAAAATAACAAATGCTGGAGATCACAGCGGGTCAGACAGCATCCTTGGAGAGAGAGCAAGCTAATGTTTCGAGTCTAGATGACTCTTTGTCAGAGCTGGTGAAGAGTAGAGGGAGCAGCATTTATACTATAGTTTTTTTGATGGGGGAGATGTTGTGGGGTAAGTGGGTGTTGGGCGCTGGTGGAGAAAAGATGGCTGTCCATTCAAGTCTGGCTGAAGACACACTATTGTTCTGTGATTCTCACGTTCCAATCACTTAATATGAAGTATCAACATATTTTCTCCACCAGCAGCGTACACCCACTACACCCACAACTATCACCACCCCTCCCCCCCAAATTATAGCATAAATGCTGCCCCTTCCACACTCCACTTCAGCTCTGATGAAGAGTCACCTAGACTCAAAACGTTAGCTTGCTCTCTCTCTTTGGACGCTGCCTGACTCGCTGTGATCTCCAGCATTTGTTGTTATGAGAAGTGCAGTGAGAAGAATATTTATTTTTGTGTGTGGGACAAACACTTAGGGAGGAATTCTGGCCCAGACACTGGGGCAATTCCCTGGGAAACTCCTTGAAATGGCACCATAGCATTGCTAACACCATCTGAACCACTGGAACAGGCAGACAGGGGCACAGCTACGTCTGCAGCCAGACCACTCTCTGAAAATAAACATAGATTCAGTGCTCATATCCTGGATTCATATCTCGAATTTTGTGACTCAGAGGCAAGAACACTGCTACCTATCCCAAGCTGAAACGCTGATATAAAAACATTTGCAAATGGACTGTTAGTTTTTCCTTAAAAAGGAAAGGACAGAGAATGCATTCTAGAAATTGATGGAAAATCTGAATCTCCACTGATGAAACCTTAAAATGCATCCACTTCTCAATCTCTATGTGAGTTCATTGATTTTTGTTTCATTTTGAACTCAGTTTCTATTAGAAGTCTAGTCACGTGTCTTTGCTGTTGCTGCCTTGAATACTTACAGTGAGTGTGTATAAATTGTGCATGCTTCTACCGTGGTTGTCAAGGTGATGTGGATGTGAAGAAGCACATGACAGCAGAATACTTGCATTGCATTTCTTTCAAATCATTTAATAACGGCCCTTATGATCTTCATTCTGTACAGTTCACATTGTCGAATGCTTTGGAAGAGTACAGTCCTGCTCCAGGTCATTGTGACATTGATGGGAATGCCTAATTTTTCTTAAAGTTGGTTTTTCCACCAAGCGTCTACAGCTGAAAGAGCTCCTGTTTCACTGGGATTCTGGCCAGTGAACCAGCCACATTATCATTTAAGCTTCATCTATGAACTATCATTACAGTAACTGCTTTCTAATAAGGAAGGAGAGAGGGACATAGATGGGAAACACAGCGCCATCTCCGCTCTCTCATTTCCTGAGTCAGCTTGGAGAGGTGACAAAATTATTGAAAGAAGGCAGCCACGTGGATAACATGCAGCTTAATTTCCAAGCAGCCTTGAATGAAGTGGATTTCTCTTAAATAACGCACCAGTACTTTGTCTGCAGGATCCAGGATGTGCAGGATCAGTGTACCTAATCTTTTATGAAATAGAATGTGACATTTCAACAGCACAAACATGAGCAACAATAGGGTTTGTTTCCCCACCTACTGACATTTTATGATTATGCATCAGTCATAAAATACAACAGTAAGTAGGCTCAAGGGATTTGTAATATAAGTGTATTCCTATTTACCACAGGGGTGTCAGCCTTTATACCAATCAGGACGTGTGGAATGGAACTGGGAGATGTTCAATACTTACAGTCAACACAATCAGACTTTCAAATGTAATACTCGTGGTTATACATTGTTTAATAAAATTCACATCAAGAAATTGGATCTGTGAGGCCTTTTGTATTCACACCAAATAATTTTTTTTCCCTTATATTACTGTGTGACATTGCAGATTTGAACTGTGTAGTACTGTGGGTCCAGAATCATTGCAACACATTAGAGAGAGTGGAAGGACGGCAATTGGCAGAACAAAACCTGGTGCCTTCATAATAGTCAACATCGTCCCCTTGAGTGCGGTGTCATTGTATGATTCATTGGTTTCTGCAAAAAAAAATCAGCTTAAGTTTCAGATGAAATAATACAAAAGGTTGTCGAATTTTAAGAGTAAGTGAGTTGAGTCCATGACCACTGTGTACTGGGGTGTACATCCAATTTTATACCATAAACACATCATGCTAATTTTACTATTGTGTTAAATCTAATCTGAATTTTAGAATGTCATCAACCTATTCCACAGTGTTAATATTTTCAAGGGATTTCTACAGTAATATTGTGTTTCTATCTTTGGTGCAGGTGTTACAACTATAAGAGTAGAAAATGATGTAATGGATCAATTTTTTTATAGCATCTTCCCTCTATTTATAATGTTTTTTAAAAAATTCATTAATGGAACACTGGCATCACTGTCTGTGTTAGCATTTATTGCCTATCTGTAGATGCCCTTGCAAAGGTGGTGTTGAGTTGCCTTCTTGAACCCTTGCAGTCTACGTGATGTAGGTTGACCCGCAATGTTCTTGGGGACAGAGTTCCAGGATTTTGACCCAACAACGGAAAGAATGTGAAATAGCTCCACAGTGACAGGTATCCTGTCCCCAAGTGTCCCCTTATTTACACATGGAGAGTCCTTGACTTTAGTACTGCCTTTACAAAGTCAGCTATAGTGTGCCAGAACCTCTGCCATTCCTCTTTATATCTATCAGCCAGGGGTCCCTGTATGGACCGGATTAACAGTCCCAATTAGGGAATGCATATTCTATGAGGTCCAGCTGGCTGATCTTGTTACAATCATAACAGAACAGCAACATATTTCCAAGTCAAGATAGTGAGTGGCGTCAAGGGAAACTTGCAGGAGGTGGTGTTCCCATGTATCTGCTGTCCTTGTACTTCTAGATGGAAGTGGTCATGACTTGGAAGGTGCTGTCCATCCTTAGTGAATTTCTGCAGTGCACCTTGTAAATAGTACACACTGCTGCTACTGGACATCGGTGATGGAAGGAGTGAATGCTTGTGGATATGGTGCCAATCAAGCGGGCTGCTTTATCCTGGATGGTGCCAATCTTCTTGAGTGTTGTTGGGGCTGCACTCATCCAGGCAAGTGGACAGTATTACATCACACTCCTGACTTGTGTCTTGTAGATGGTGGGCAGGCTTTCAGGAGTCAGAAAGTCAGTTACTTGCTGCAGTATTTGTAGCAACTGACTTGCACTTTGTAAGTTCAGTATTTATATGATCGCATGAGTTTAGTTTCTGGTCAATGTTAACCCTCAGGATGTTGACAGTGGAGAATTCAGTGATGATAATGCTATTGAATGTCAAGGGATAATGGTTAGGTTCTCTCCACTTGGATATTGTCCAGGTTTTGCTGTATTTTGACAGCTGCAGTATCTGAGAAGTCATTATAGGTGTTGAACATTGTGCAATCATTGGCGAACATCCCCTGCTGACCTTATGGTGGAGGGAGGGTCATTGATGAAGCAGCTGAAAATAGTTGGACTGTGGATGCTATCCTGAAGGACTCCTGAAAAGATATCCTGGAACTGAGATGACTGACCTCCAGCAACCACAGATATATTCCTATGTGCCGGGCACAGCTCTAATCAGTGGAGAACTTGTCCCGATTCCCACTGATTCCAGTTTTGCATAGGTTCACTGATGTCTCTCCTGGTCAAGTGCAGCCTTGATGTCAAGGGCTGTCACTCCCACCTCACCTTAGAATTCAGCTGTTTTTCCCATATTTGAACTAAGGAGCTGAGTTGCCCTGGCGGAACTCAAACTGGGCGTCGCTGAGCAGGTTATTGCTGAGCAGTGCTGCTCGATAGCACTGTTGATGACATCTTCCACTTTACTGTTGAGCGAGAGTAGGCTGATGGGCTGTACTGGATTTATCCTGCTTTTTGTGTACAAGACATACCTGGGTAATTTTCCACACAGTCAAGTAAATATCAGTATCGTAGCTGTGCTGGATTTTGTCATGATCAAGCATCATTTTTCATCCAAGGAATGATCATATCCACACACAAATGTTAAAGTTTCATGAATTAATTGGATCAAGGTCACTTGGTTTGAATTCTGCCTTTCTCTGTCTCTCTGTTTTTCCATGTGACATTTTCATTGTTCGGGGTTGCTAAATAAACAGCATAAATCATGATGTCGCAACGAGTCAAGGCTGGAGGTAGGGCGGCACAGCGGCACAGTGGTTAGCTATGCTGCCTCATGGCACCAGGGACCAAGGTTTGATGCCAGAATTGAGCGACTATCTGTGTGGAGTTTGCACAGTCTCCCCATGTCTGCGTGGTTTCCTCCGGATACTCCAATTTCATCCCACAGTCCAAAGGCATGCAGGTTAGGTGGATTGGCCAGGGTAAATTGTCCAGTAGAGTCCAGGGATGTGAAGGTTGGGTGGATTACCCAAGGTAAATGTGAGGATGAGATGGGTCTGGGTGGGACAGTCTTTCGAGGGTTGCTGCTGATCGACAGGCAGAATGGCCTCCATCTGCACTGTAACAATTCTATGATTCTAGTCTTCAAGTACCACCTCAGCTGGTGGAAGAATTGAACCCATGCTGTTGGAACTATTTTGCACCTTATTTTGAGCTAACTGATCACCCGTTCAGCTCAAAGAGATTGTGGAAGTCTCCTTACACCCGCTCTTGAACGTTAATGGGTAAGGCGGGCAATTCTTCAGGGAAAGTTCTAATGACTAATGAATGTTAGTCTCCTTCCCTCTTCATTTCAACATGTAACTGAACCAGTCAGTTGCCTCTGAGGATTTTTTTGGCTACAGTGTTTCATGTTTGCATTTTCTGACAGAAACAGCCCAACATTGAGATGCAAATCACTGAACACCAGCTTTGCTGGGCAGGACATACCATTCCTACGCCTGACGCCAGTCTCCAAAAACCACTGCTCCGCTGCAACAAGAGATTCCCCGGAGGGCAGCAGAATTTCGGAATATTTGCAGGGCATCTCGGAAGGGATCAAACACCCCTGCTGACTCATTGGAGCCTCTGGCATGTGACTGATCAGAAATTGAAAAGATTTCATCTGGAATGAACATATTCAGAGATTTAATTGGGAACACACAATGGTAATGTTGAAGCATTGATGAAAGAGTCCACAAATCTCTAAACAAACCCAGTCTTCCCAACGCCAACCGCTTCCTTAGTGAGTTCATCCTTAATTTTTCCCATGTGCCAGAGTCTGTAGATTGTGTTTTGGACTTATCATCCATTTCAGAATGCAGTGAACCTGAGCAAATCACCCTTGGGATGCCTAAGAAGGCCAGGAGGTTATGGTATTAACGTGGTTGTGGAAGTTTCACTGATTTTATCCTCACTGCCAGAGAATGAAAAGGACTAAAAGACAGGGCCAGAGCAGACTTATTAAACATATAATTTAAAGCGCCCAGCCGTAGAATGAAAAATAATGCAAAAATAACTACATATTGTTTCATTTAAATCAGAAACCAGGACAGTTTCTATCATGCACATATCAAACTGTATTGCGGAAGTTACAGGATGTTCCCATTTATTTCCAGTTTTATTAAATTATTGATCAACTAATAAACTAGCTGCTCACTATCTGGGTATTGTAATCACAAGGTGATAACAGCAGGGCAGTGCTTTGTTGTTCTGTTGCATCTTCTAGATGTGCCAAGTTCTTTTCTGTTTGTTAAGGGAGGGGAGAACTGAACACATGAACTTTGCTCATTTACATTGTTGACATGTGCGAGAGACAATGCAAGAAAGTAAACACAGGAATAGACCATGCAGCCTGTTAAGCCTGCTGCATCATTCAGTATGATCAGAGCTGACCTTGAGCTTCATTTTCATGGTCTCGCCCATCTGAGACACCATAGGTTTGTCTACCCAAGACCTAGCTATAGGTAGTGATGGAGCATCCACAACCTTCTGGCGTAAAGAATTTCAAGGATTCACAACTCTTTGAATGAAGATGTTTTTCCTTATTTCAGTTCGAATTAATCTGCCTTTATCTCAAGCCTGTGAGCCTGCCTGTGCATTAGATTTCCCTCTCAGAAGAACCAATTTTTCAGTATCTTCAGTCCCTTCAGAATCTTGCATGTCTGAAAAAGTTCATCTCTTATTTCTTCTAAACTGTACAGGATAAAGGCTTAATTGGCTCAGCTTCTTATCCCACAGACTAATTTAATGAACCTTCACTGGACTGCCTTAAATATGAAACAGCACCCAGTATTCCAGGAATGGTTTCACCAAAATGCTGTACAGCTGCAGCAAGTCTGTAACATGCTTGCACTCCAACTGCCTCAGAATAAAACCATCGCACCATTTAAAACAACAACAAAAACAGAAGCTGCTGGAAAAGCTCAGCAGGTCTGTTAGCATCTGTGAAGAAAAAAACCAGAGTTAACGTTTCAGGTCTGGTGACCCTTCCTCAGAACAGTTCTGAAACATTATCTCTGATATTTTCTTCACAGATGTGGCCAGACCTGTTGAGCTTTTCCAGCAATTTCTGTTCTTGTTGTTGTTTTACAGCCTCTGCAGTTCTTTCGGTTTTCATCATGCCATTTACCTTTGTAATTATTTGCTGGAACTGCATGCTAATATCTGTACACCTTGTTTAAGCACAACCAAATCTTTCTGAAAACCAACATTTGCAGGTTTCTGCTATCTTTTTACCCACTCACTTAACCTACCCATATCTCTTTGTAACCTCTGCATGGCTTACATTTTCACTTAACTTTGTAGAGTCAGCACACTGTCTCTTTGTCAAAGTTTGTAGATTGTAAATGGCTGAGACTGCTCTCTCCCCTCCACAGCCTGCCAATTTGAAAAATACCCATTTTTCTTGAAAAAGGTAATGGCTCTGAATAGGTTAATGATTGAATCCCTGCAGTATGGAAGCAGGTCATTCAGCCCATCAAGTCCATACCAACCCTCTGAAGAGCATTCCACCCAGACCCAACCCCCTATTCTATCCCTATAACCCTGCATTTCCCAGGATACTCCACCTAGCCTACTCATCTTTGGACTGTGGGAAGAAGTCAGAGCACCAGAAGGAAACCCTTGCAGACACACGAGAACATGCAGACTCCACACAGACAGTCACCCAAGGCTGGAATTGAACCGGGGACCCGAGTGCTGGAAGGAAGCAGTGCTAACCATTGAACCACTGTGCTGCTCCAATGTTAATGCTGGAGACTGTGTTGTGTTTTACCCAATATGATGATGCCATGTAGTCTTGCTGGGGAAATTGGAAGAGCAACTCATGATCTTGTAGGGGGTAGAGATGTTAAACCAATTCCACGAATATTTATTTTTATCATTGAATATCTTTTGAAAATCCAGGTATGTTATGCCCACTGTTTCCCCTTTATCTACATTCCTAGTTCCATGCTTAAAATACTCTAATATATTTGTCAAACAGGACTATTCTTTTGTGAACCTCCCCCCAACTGGAGTTCAGTGAGCAATGTGACCAGTGAAAGTTTTCAGATTCCCACATTACTGTTAGAAACCCCCTAAATGGTTAAACATTGTTCAGTCAGGCGTAAGTGGACTTTTAATGGTGACTGGATTAACAACATTTAACTGATCCTGGAAAAATACATTTATAACCATGGCATGCTGTTAAATGATGGATGAGTAGATTTTTAAAGCTAATTTTTTTCAGAATATTTTAGCTGCTAATTAATTCCATGTGCATGTCCTAAACTTTAAATTGCGCAGCATTACATTTTTTAAAAAGAAATTTTATTTTATAGCTTTTAGTTCCGTATAGAGAGGGACTGGGAGGGAGTTATAAAAATCTTTTCGTGATAGACTGCTTGGCCAGCCTGATGACATCACCGCTGTTCCATGCTGGGAATTCCCCAGGAAAGAACACTCTAATCATTTGCAGTAAACTTCCATACTGATAGAGGGGGAATGACTTGCACCAAAAAGTTTGAGACAGAATTTTTTTTTTTACATTGCATGGAGCTGCAAATCTCATTTAGTCCTAAAGGTAAGTAACCCCACAGGACTGATACATTTTGTATTGGCAAATCATTTCCTATAGGATTCTTGAGCAATTACCCCTCTGCCCCCATCCTCCCACATCCTATGAAACTCTGGGAAACCATGTATGCTCATGAGCAACACAACATGGCCTTCAGATTCAAAAGATTAGTGCCGCATTCATACGTTTTAAAAGCAGCATTGTGTCTGTGTAGAAGTGACCTAACTTCTTAGACATTAGAAGGTGTGGGAAGTATTTATTGAAAATGCTACTACTGTATCATCTTCACTTGCAGTTCAGTCTCTCAATTGTCTTGTACAAAATTTGGATTAGAAACGTCACAGATCAATAACTAATTGTTTTTCTATGTGTCGATGAAGCAACCTTATGTAAAATGCTATCGAATCATGCTATGCTCTTAATCTTTATAGAGTCATAGAGTCATACAGCACAGAAACAGACCCTTCGGTCTAACCAGTCCATGCCGAACATAATCCCAAATTAAACCAGTCCCACCTGCCTGCTCCTGGCCCATATCCCTTCAAACCTTTCTTATTCATGTATCTATCCAAATGTTCTCTGAGTGTTGTAATTGTACCCGCATCCACCACTTCCTCAAAAAGTTCATTCCACACTCAAAACACCCTCTGTGTAAAAAATTTGCTTCTTATGTCTTTTTTAAATCTCTCTCCTCACACCGTAAAAATGTGCCTCCTAGACTTGAAACCCCTTATCATTGGGAAAAAGACAACTACCATTAACTCTATCTATACCTCTCATTATTTTATAAACTTTTATCAGATTGCCTCTCAACCTCCTACGTTCCAATGAAAAAAGTGTCAGCCTACCCAGCCTTTCTTTATAATTCAAACCTTCCATACCTGGCAACATCCTGGTAAATCTTTTCTGAACCCTCTTCAGCTTGATAATATCCTTCCTATAATTGGGCAACCAGAAGTGGACACAATATTCTAGAATAGGACTCACCAATGTCCTGTACAACATCCACATGACTTCTCAACTCCTATACTCAAAGGACTGAGCAATGAAGGCAAGCATGCAAATACCTTTTAACCACCCTGTCTATATGTGACACAAACTTCAAAGAATTATGTACCTGTACTCTTGAACATTTGAACATTTTTGGTAGAGTTTCCATTGTAGGGGTACTCGAGAAGTTGGGTGCATATTATGTTTAGGTTTGGTTGCTGAATTAAATTTTTTGCTTGGGTTTCCAATCAAGCACATTTGTGTAGCACCAAAAGTCAAGTCTTCTATGAACGAGCACAACTACATAGTAGTCTAGCATATAATGGTTTTTCAACCATTGAAAACAAATTTCTCAACCTTTATGTTGAATCAGTTATAGTGCTTGACGTATCAAAAGTTATTGGGAAGTTAGCAGTGTACTTTTAACAGAAACTGTTTAACAGCACAGCACCAGACTTGAACACTGTAATTAAATACTTACTAAGCATTTCAAATTGACCACAGCTCAGGTCACAGTTAATACTTTGAAATTAAATTCTGTAATTATTCAATTTTTGAAAGTTACATGAAGTTTAGAGTACAGGAACAGAGTTATTCTACCAGCAGTGATGCTTATGTGCTACACTAGTTTCACACTTCCGAGTTGATTTAATTCATTTTATCCTAATAATGCAGTGCTTCTTCTTTCTAGATCATGAAACAATCAACTTCTCCTTAATTAGTCAGGTTTGGAATATTATCACTCCTACCCTCAGCATCTACTAAGCACAGAAGGATTTTCTCCAGTGGGAGTAGGCAGATTAGAGTTGATTGCTGCATAACAGCATAAAACAAGTAAGTCATTTGGTCCCTTGAGCCTGTTCTGCCATTCAACAGCTGATCTTCCATTCCAACTCAACCTTCCCACACTATTCCCGCATGCCTCATTTTGGAAAAAAAAATCTACTTTGAATATACTGAATAACTGAGAATCCATAGCCCTCTGGAATAGAGAATTCCGAAGTTTCACAATCCAGGGAAGAAAGAAATTTCTCATCATCTCAATCCAAAGTGGCCATCCACTTCTTCCAAG